TTTCGTTCTTTTGATGGTTTGGTTCGTCTTTAGCACCATTCTGCTGGATCGAACTGAGTCCTTTCATATCAGAAGGAGGAGGTGGCGACGTAGACACGGCAGAAAAAGCGTCATGCCTTCATCTTCCGCTGCAGAAGGCCAAACAACAGCGCCTTTGGAATGGGTATGTGTATCTACGAGTTTAAAACAGAACAAACATTTGCTTGTACACAAAGCTTTTAAAAATAAGAGGGATTAATTCTGTGTAGAAACTAATGCATGCCCAACTGCCTCGGCAATAAATTGTCGTCTTGAATAGAAAAGCAGCCTTGTTATTCCCTACTGACATGAATTCTAGACAAACATGTGGCAGTGTCTTAAAAAAAAAAATGCAGTCAAGTAATGGACCCAAAGGAAACCTTCTACGGTTCGCCTATCAGAAAATCCTTATCAACTCGGTATGTGCTGTCGTCCGATTTCGGTCTCGCGACAGTTAAAGAAAGAAAGAGTTTATATGTTGGCGCTCAAGGATGAAATATTTTTCTGCTTTTTAAGTTTTAATTGGCATTTTTAAGCAATTTCACGGTTGCCTTAACATTCTGTAGCCTGAGGCAAAACGGAAGTTTTAACTGAGAAGAATCCAATGTTACGTGGCTCTTCAGAACGTACTTCCGCGAAAAATGTTTTTTGATCAAAATTGTTAAGTCAGTGACGTGCTCCTCGTGTAAATTCAATCATCCTCCTTGGCCTATTCAGTAGAATTTTATTACTAATGTCCTATACCCGTGCAGAATAATTTCTTTAATTATAGCATAACAGTATTTGTAAAACATTTCTATCGCATGTCAACCGCAAACGCGAAATTAATAGACTTAATTAAAATACTTCGTTCAGTATTTTTGAATTGATAACGTTTTCCCGTTAAAAAAGTGGATCGCCTAGCCAAGAAAATGCTTTTCCCACGGCAAATCATCACACCGCTCATCGGCTCTATTTTTTATACTCAGAGCGTGCGCTCAATAAATGACGTGGCCTGAGCATCCTTAGTTATTAGTTTTCGTGGTAAGGAAGTGAGAAGCAATGGACACGCTTATTCTCTATTGGTAATTAAGAATTCAGAAAAATTTGAAGCATCAATCTTTTCATTGGTGCGTGTCTTCCATTGAAAAGTGAGAAGGAACTCGATCTCCCATTGGCTATCAGAGGCCCTTCTGGAGGTAAATTGAGGAATGAAAAATGTGGAGAATGAATGGTAAATAAACTTTTAAGCCCTTAAGACAAACTTGACAGAAATATTTTAAGGGAATTATCTGGCGTATACCTATGCTGGCTTTTAGTATGTGTGTAAAAGGTGTTCAGGAAAATTAACCTTTCATTCTTTTGCCGCAAGATGAGTCTTCAAAAATACTGGATTCTTGAAAGAAAGTCAGTTGAAAAGCGCATTTATTCCTCCCTTAGAAATATATCGAATCAAGAGAGGATAGAATGCTTGATTCAAATGATCCATTTAGCCATTGATAACTACTGAGCTGGATAATAAAACAAAGTTTTTAATTTCAAAGAGAAACGTGAATGCAAGAACAGTTAAGGTTTTTGTTCTCAGAAATAAGCAAACTTTTGTGAGTTTGCAAAGGACTGCAACGAAGGAAAAACACAAGTGAAAGCTACTCGCACAAAACTTTTTCTGCATATTAAAAAATCGTTTTTTTCCCCTTCTCATCGCCGTTTTTTTTTGCCCACTTCAATTCGAAAATCGTAATCAAATCATAGATAAATGCTAAACGCGTTTGTATTTTTATTTCATGATAGAGGAGAGGTCGTTGATAACTGTATAGTTCAAACTATTTTTCTGGTCGTTAGTCTGTTATTTCTTCACCTTTTTGTTGCCGTCGCCGTTGAAGCTCACGTAAGATCGTTAATAGTAATGTAATCGTAAAGTCTTCAGCTCTTAAGATCTCACCAGAAAAACCCTCGCATAACTGTACCTTTGATTTAAATTGTTTTCTTTTATAAGGATGGAAATGAGGTTACTGAAAGTACCCCTCCGGGATTCAATCGCAGAGGATAATGTCTTACCATGAGGAAGTGGATCTCCTACCAGCGCAAGACGAATTGGCATTATATAGCTAATGTACCTTTTACCATCAAAATAAAACAATTTGTATTGTAAAAAAAGCATATCTGTAAACTCAGAGTAAGGAAGAAATAAAAAGGCCAATTGAAATTGATCGAAATTATTCCTCTTGGTCTTTTGCTCACCTGCACTTTGGAATTAAGCCATAATTGAATTCGTCGCGCAACGGTTGATTTTCTTTAGGTTCACGAGAAAGGAGACAGAGAGTAATACTTCACAACCCTGATTCTAGACTTCCTCCATGTGGCTTAGAGAGCTACGTTTATCATCCGTATCTTGAAGCAGATTTTACCTACCAAGCTTGCCATTTAAAATGCGTCCTAATCATCTTCATCGTGAACGTCATGTTTGCATCTTTGTCCGTTATCTTTTTTTTCTTAAATGAAAGTTTCTCCTCTTAATAATCTATAGCGTATGTCCAGGATGTTTTTTTTTTTCTGCGGACTAATTTCGCGGAATCACAGCCTACCCTTCATTAATTCTTCCGTTTAGTCAAAAGTATTATCCCTCGCTATATATTCAAGACTGTAATATACACCAAGAAAAATTTGACACTAGTCAAGAAAAAGTATTTTATTTGGCATGATCCCAGTAGCCTATTTCGCCAGATATAGAATAATTATTAATATATGTTTGTGTGTCAGTTCTTGGCCGGTTGCCCTGGTGACGCGGATGTGAAAGCTTATCTTAAGGCTAATTTTTAGGTTTAAGATAGAAATATCTCCCCCGCGATGTTATTCGATCTCATTTGTACCAGTTTTGTACAAGTTTAGTATCAAAGGGACGAAGAACGTGATTCACTTCAGATTCACTGTAAACGGAGGTAAAATGTGACTCCTACTGTTCGGTGCTAAGCGACAGCAGAATCACGCTTACGCGGACTCGCATGGGAAAAACGAAAAATGGTTCGAGTTAGCGGGAGTTCGAGTTACTGCGACTGATGCTGAATTTTAATTAGGAATCGTGTTCAGTTATACCATCACTGGGTCGTCTTGCACAATCGACAGTCATTTTCGAACATTTAGTTTGTCTCATAAGAACTTTTTTTGTAATAATTTTTTGGTTTGGGAAGTTCCGCTAAATGTATCACGTTTTCGAAAGTGATGTCATGTTCGTATAAGTTGCAATTGAAGGTTGTTCTAACACTTACACATTTATCGATCGACGTTTTCACTTACCGTTCGATTTATCAGAGTAAGTGTGGGTCAAGGGAAAAGGAATCTAAGTCGAGTTTACAGGGAATTCGAGCTAAAAGTCCGAGTTAACTGATAGTAAAGGACTGGAAAAATGGGGTCAAATTCAAAGGAAATCAATCTAGTTTGAGTGGGCTTGAGGTTTGAGAAATAACTGAGTTCGGGTTGGTGGGGTTCTATTGTATTGCCGCTTTCCTCTGCGCATTGCACAAAGTCAGGTTTATCGTGGTTATAAAAACTGCATCAAGCAGTAAGCTTTAGCTTAAACCTACAGAGATTATTCAATTTATGTTGCATTTATGAGGACGAAGCGAAAAAGAAAAATAATAAATGTAAACTGGATGGTCAAGTAGGTGTACTCATGCTTTGCATCACAGCAAAATTTTGTTCTTTAACAACTCATCTTTCATGATAGTGACGTTATGAAGTAGTGTTTCTTTTTGGGTGAGCTGTTAATAAGGCTTCAAGACCATTATATCAGTCAATAAAACGATACCATTCCACTTTCTTTGTCACCACCGGATGAAGTACATAGCAAAGACTGGGAAAAGTTCACTTTGAAATTTTACACTCCTTGTAATGTTTATGAGCGCGTGAAGTCGAAATCATATCGTTAAATACTTTTTGCACCAAAGGTGTAAATCTATAGCATCGTTTTAGGATTTTTAGCTTGGAGTATGAGACATATTACCTTAGCTTAAGGAGCCACGGATCAGGTGCTGTCAAATAAGAATGTTTTCTTTACTTGAAACAAAGCTGTGGCAGTTTGTCAGACTGGGAAAAGCTCTCAAGACGTGAGAGTCAATCAAAAGGGTAACAAAGATGATGAAAGAAAAACATGGACTGCAGGTGAAAATATTGAAAATGTTCAAGATGATTATACCTTGTGGTAGCTGTTTCTTTACTTCTCTCAAAACGGAAAAAATTATCCTCTTTGAAGAGCCATTTATGATTGAATAAAAGCACTAGAAATATTAAAAAAATGGTGGAAAATATCCTCATTAAAACACTAAATATAGTGCCCAGCACTTAACGCATCTGAGAATCAGTTATTGTTAGCGTGTGTGTGCGTCATCGTTTTGTTGTTTCTCTTAATAGTATCAAGTTAAAGACCGGAATGTCTTTTGTTCCTAAATCGTCATAGACTTGAACGACAAGAGGAATAATCTTTGGTTTCGCTTCATTAACGACAAATATGGAAAAATTGTTCTGGAAAAATGACATGCCATGTAAAGAGGGGGAAGTTACTCGTGATGGCTGTTTTAAAACACCCAGCAGGTTATCAACTTAAGGTGCTTGATAAAAGCAGATAAAGTGATCGATTTCATCAGTCTCCTAACAAATTTTTTTTACTATTTGCTTCCTTTCTTGGAATTAACCGAGTCTTTTGTTTCTTTTTTGGGTGGAAAGAGAGCAAAGAACTCAAAAAATGTAAAAGTAGAAGGTTTTTTTAATTTTTTTTTTCTTTCATCTTTTCTGCATTCAGCTTGTCTGTTCGGGATAATTTTTCTTGTCGGCTTATCTGTATCATTTTAGAAAGGCTTCTGACGCGCCTTTAATTTTATAATACAGGCAACAATTTAAGAAAGTCGATATATTAAAAAAATTAAAGAAATTCATGATAAAAAGGTAAAGCTGAGAATAAAAATACACAGCCCACAAAAAGGTTCTCAGCCAAAAAAAACCGCAAAATGAACTTCAAGATTTTTTTTATTCCTTATTTCTTGTTTACTATTGAATACTAGTACAGACTTATAATCATATTATCTATTATGGTCGTGAGATAAGAGTTAACTTGTACGGTGTTTTCTTTGTTCAAGAGGCAATTCTATGCTCTTCCAGTTAAAACTGTCCTTGTAATCGGTTTTCTTCTACTGACGGCATATCGTCCTCCGCAAAGCTTGTCTCATACATCTATCCACAAATTGTAAAAAGGAAACGAAATGAGAAGGATGGTCATAAATCACAATTACGAGGAAACATAATGGTAACCTGCTCAAAGTAATGTTTTCATGCGTTAAATTGCCCACCCTCTGGTAGAGGCACTAAATCTAAGAATTTTTTATCGCATTTGGAAAGATTTTAGAATTTTTCTATATTTTTCCTAAGAGATATAAAAACGTCCTATTTTTTGGGGGGCTTGAGTTTACCGGTACGTCTCAGGATAATGATTCTCCCTTCACTCAAATTTCTAATGTAAGGAAATACATCCACCTTGACAACTAAAAGCTATCGACTACACATCGATTGGCATCAAGAAGAAAGAAAAATCACAATTTCGAAACATTTCTGTTTACTTTTGGAGGCATTACTTGAAATATATCTTGTCTTTTTCCAAAGATATATATTTTTTTATTTTGAACCAGATGTTACCTTCAGCATTTCCTCTCTCCGTTGAGAGTTCTGTAAGGGACGAATTTCATTCTTCTCTATCCATGAATCCCTCTTTCCACTCGATCTTCTTCGTCCTATTCTTATATTAAGAGCTTCCACTCCTTCTTCAAGGTAAGAACTTACAATTACACAAATCCCCACTATAAGCAAAACTCTTTGCCAATCCATTGTGTCCCTTCTGCAAGAGCGAACGTGCAAAGATGAACCGATCAGTGATTCTGTGCGCTTTTGTGCTTTAGTTATCAGCTTTTATTTCCAATTACAAATGCAGCCAACAGAGCCTCCGTATTTGTTTTGGATAATGAAGGCATATGAATAAATGTGCTATAATAAAAGCTATTTCTTTCTGCGAACAGCTGTCCACTGTCACGAAGATGCTGGGTCAAGATAGAATGAATTGAATTCTTATTGAAATCTAAAAATGGACATCAAAGTTCCGTGTTCACGAGGCCTACGTAAAATCAACATATTTCACCGCAAATAAAGGGGAAAGGGTTATGAAATTCAAAGAATATAACAAGTAGAAAAATGATGATTGAAAACTGTCATATTACTTTTCAGATTGATTATCACTTATTCATCAAAGCTTCAATGACTTACAACGTTTTAGATTTTGTAATCGTTCAAACGGAATCTGAACTTTTTTCGTTGCGTTTAATTCATTTTCTTTCACTACAGCTATTTCTCTGAGAAGCCTTTTGATACTTTCTGCCATGATACTCACCTACGGCAGTTACTCCAACACAGTTTTACAGTTAAAAACAAGCCAGCTGTAACGAACTATATACCAATTTGACCTTATCCATTGGGTCTACGCGCTAGTTAAGACGGAAACATCGTTATCTTTCTTTCGATGCAAAGGGTTTGACCTCCATCAACATCCTGTTGCTATAGAATTCGAACTGAAAATTAACTTCCTTAGAGGAAAGCGGGGCGTTTGTACTCATATACCGCTCAATTCAATTACGATCCCCCACTGGCGCCATTTCTGAGCGGCAAGGCTTCCCACGGCTACAATCTCCTAACATGTATACACCTATTAAGCAAAACGGCAATTAAGTGATAAATAATCGGTATATTCTCTTACCAATGCAATAAATAAAGTAGATCGTTGTGTTACTGAATCCTTTAATTTAAAGAGACAGACGTACTCCATAACAATTACTTTTGACAAATTATCAAGATGATGTTCCTTCATGAAATATTACTGACATATTAACTGCTATAGAATAATTATATTTCCCTGTCAACGAACGAAATTTTCGAATAATTTGTACTATGGATCTATTAAAACGAAATTAACCTTGTGGCATGCAATTAAAAATCCCTCAGATCTCAAACTTCTCGTTATCATCAGGTCTGCTTTGTTTTCAAGTGTTTCATCTCATCTAGTATTGAAACTCCCGAACGTTAGGTAAAAGATCTCAACAGTAAAATTCAATATTTATATCACAGCGAAAGAAAAGAAATAATAAGGAGGAGAAAAATGTTGTATACCGACTCCGAAGAGATGTACTATCCCCTTAATTTGTACTCTAAATGAAATAATATTTCCACTCTCCACAATTCATTGTTCAAAAAAATTATATTAAAGTTGTCGTAAAACAAATAAAAAAAGCCTAATGGGAATCACGATAAGCCGTGAAATAAACTGTAAGGTTAGAATCCAATAATTTCTAGGAGCCATCAGGGACGGACATAAGCAGTCGGAATAGCAACGCTGAGGAAGACGTCGCTTAAATACTTAATTTACATCCTAAGTTAGAGCTTTGGCGATTGACGGTGCGTGTGTTTATCGTCTCTTACGGCGTCACACCTGAACTTCAGCATAATATATGTGAGCAGAGGTGAATTCCAAATGTAAACTTAAGTAATTCGCCATCGGGGTTTCCGTTATCAGACCACGCAAATTTTGGCGATTTGTCATCGTTCTGCCCATTAAATGTGTTCTTTTGCCATGTCCTCGCTGCCGTCGCCTACGTGGTTCGCTGGAGGTTCATATTTCTTAAAAAATTTATTCGTAAGTGATTCGAAAGCAACGTTTACTCACCATATTTTGCTATTACCTGTCTTATTTTTTTATAATCTTTGTACTAAATGACTATATTGAACGAAAGGGACTTCTGCGAATTATCTCTTCAAGGAAGCTATTTTCACTGTTGTTCGGAAGACGGTAAGCATGTAAAGATCAAAATAAAACTTGGTTTTGATATTTCTTGATTACATAGAAGTGCGCAAAAGCTAATGACTTAACATGGCTTTACCCTGGTGTAAAGCAAAATCTTAGGAAAATAAATGCCACATTAACACCTCTGCTAAGCCATAAAAGAGATTTTTATCAACCTTGGGTTAGCTTAGTCGTGTTTTGACCAACCAGCGCATTTTTATGATTTCTTTCTTCTGAATTTGTAATAATTGCATCATTTTCACCTGGTATTAAGTCCGATCAATTGTAACAGCGAACAATTTGAGCCTTCCCTTCCCTCCTAACAGCTTAGCTCAACTTTTTGAGAGGCGTCAGTCAAACTGGTATCTACGAAGAAAGCGTAGTTAGACCTCGCTCTAAATTCCTTTATAAGGGCTACCTAGATGTAATTGCACTGATTGGATATTACCTATACAGGTAAGATTGAAAGATTGAAATTCATGAGAAGAATGACAAATCAAGACACGCGTTTCTTCAAAAACTGACATACACATTAGAGAATTAGCATGCAAGGACCTAGAGTAGTTAAATACACCATTCAAGCGTTTGCGCATGTGCGAACGTCGAAATCACTAGGTAGCGTTACTTCAGGTTGTGAGAACAAAGTTGTCTTACACGAGTTATAAACAACCAAATAAGCGAGTGAATCACGGTATTTTAAAACGTATAACTCTCTTGATAAAGCATAAAAAAGAATGGTCAATCAACGAGATACCCGTAGTTGAATAAGCTTCGTGTTCGAGAAGTCTCGAGTTTTCCTTTTAACTACTTTTGTTTCCGCTATCACGAACGTTTCAATTTCCTTTCGCTTAGTTTGCATCACAGCTGTTGTTCCTTATGTGTTCCTTATGTTTTTCTTAGAAATTTAGCGCGAGAAATTGATATGCAGGCGCCCAAAATGAATCCCCCTTGCGCATGTCCTACGTTTGACCGCTTCGTTGGTTTGGTTTGCATGTGTAATGAGCCAGCGATCTTACCCCCTGACATAGTGCACAGCTGTTAAACTGTTGTCAAATGCTTACTCGGGGGAAGGAAAGGAAAGGAAACAGGATAGATCCAGCCCCCTCCCCTAGCTCCCCCAGTCCCGGTACCCCAGTAAAAAATGACAAATAAGCCTTTGCAGAGTGCTACTCAAGTTGTGACATTCCCTGCTCCCTTCCTCTCACAGTTTTATTTCAAAGAAAATTTTTTTTAGATGCGTAAAAAACTCGGAGAGACGACGGTTTAATAAAACCAGTGATTATTTATCGCCTGAGGAGGAGGGGGTGGGGTGGGGTTGTTGTCAGAAGATTGTAGGGGATCACATGGTTTTCAGGGGGAATTGAGGGGGGATCAGTTGTCCCTGACAGAGTATAAAAGGGGGGAGGACTATATATTATTGCCTGCTGGTAAGGGGGTGGGGTGGGATTAGAATACTACAGAGCCTTAGGGGAGGATCAGATAAATGTTTTTGCGACAAAACCCAAATTCTCCGACCCCCCCCTCCCCTTCCGCCCCCCACCTCTTCTCCGGCTATAGATAAGACCGGTCCTTGGGTGGGAAGAGATGATAACGGGCTCAAAGCCTTATTTCAAATAAAAGATCAAAGGAAATATTGTCCAGCTTATATTCCTAAAAGCCGACCCCATCTTTTTCGTTTTCTATTTTGTTTGTCGTATGAATTCCAAATTATTTGAAAAGACAAAGAGGCAATAAAAAACTTCCCGATCCCGTAAATAGCTGGATTTTCGACAAATGAGTTTTAGTGCCTGTTTTTATATCAGCAACACTAACAGACATTTTCCCTTCCATTTTATTAACACGTAACGTGTAAACTATTCCTTACACACCCCTCCCCCACTATTTCCTAAAGGAAAAGATGTTTTCTTTCTAAAAGTTGCTTCGCTAGCAACAAGTTCGCATCTGAATCGACTAACACTCTTTTTGAGAAAATTTCTAAAGCGTTTAAAAGTTTCGCTTGGACATCTTCATGGGTTAGCGTTCACTACTTTCGATTAAGAGTCCCTTCGATAAAATCGTTAGTTAGGTAAGAGAAAAATTTGCATATTTAAAAACAGTGGAGCGGATGAGAGATTGTGGGTATTTTGTTTAATCAAAGTGGGAAATAACATTTTCTGTAGCAGAAAGTCATCTGAGATAAAATCAGAAAAAATAGGCGTGTCAATTCATCATTTTCAAGAGAGCAGCTGATTGTCAAACTTGATTCATGCCGTCGGCGATAAAGGCCCAACATGTAAAGGAAGATAATCAGAGCAACGCTTAATATAATTTTTTGACCATTAGAATTGTACATTTTGTGTTGGTAACAACTAATTGCCTTGGCTCAAGGTTGCTTATGTCACTTTAAACACATTCAACTTAATTTTATGACTATTCTCCTCACGTTTTTTCCAAATAATGTACTGATATAGCGACAAATAACTTACAAGCTAGTTACTTCTGAGAAAATGGTAACTAACACGCTATTCATAAAAGTAAAAAAATTATTCTGCTAAGGCTGGTTATAATGAAATAAAAATCAGCAATAGAACACTGAAAACTGAATTTTACAATGGCTTCAAGTAATCGGTTACTTATCATTAACCAGTGCAACTTCTATGAAGAAAACACAATTCGAACCGCGTTTGACAAAACAGTGCTAACACGTGTATCATCATTGGTGTGAAGGAAAAAAACAAACAAACAAAGACAAAACATAACAAAACAAAAAACGAGAAAAAAAAATCACTTGGAATAAGAGATTAAAAACTTGAAAGAAAAGCCAAGTATGACTTTAGTAAGTTGTATCAGAGAAGCGAAAGATATGTGATTTCAATGAAGTTTTCAAACTGATACTTGCTTAGACCCTAATATGGACCTAAAATTTTAAAGCTTTAAAAGAGCAAATGATTAATGTTTAATGATTTAATGTTTAACGTTCTACAGTAAATCTGTCGCCAAGTTTAAAAAGTTTGCTGCTTTAGGATGTCCTTAATGTGTAAAGAGATTATTTTAGCTTTTAGTCCTAGTAAAATAGATTTTAAGAATTTGAGTGTAAAATTATCGTTCGTTATTGAATAAAAGCTATACTTTTTTTACACGTATGATATCCAGCATATTGTGTCAAGGGCAACGAAATGGATTTTAAAGCTAAGAAATTAATTGCTTCCAAACCCTCTTCAGTCCCTCATTTCCCGATTTGTCTCTTTGAGGTTTCAAAGTACGGACTAACTCATTATAGGATATATAAGTTTTTTTTCCACTGTCAGTGTTTCAGCTATAATCCTGTCGTTCTGATTCACATCGTGGTAAAAAAAATTAGTGTACCCGGGTCATTGGATTGTGGGAAAGTATTGGAAAGCAATTTTCTCTTTCTGCCTTTTAAGACTTAAGATGAATTATAAGTGTGTGAGCGAAAGCTATTGATAAATTAGTCATATTACCACCCACAGATATCTCGATATACGCTTTTTTTGTGTTCTGTTTTCATAGCTAAAAGAGAATAGCTTTTGGGTATTTTTTCAGTCATTTGATAACCCGTTGACGAACGAGCTGGCTAAGAGCGGATTTAAATGTCCTTCCTTTTCTGATTTACCTGAAGATTCATGATGCACTGTTGGTAACACATATATCTTTCAAACATATGACAATAAACGACATTGTAAAGGAAAGGTTAAATAATTACGAGGTCGAAATTGTGCTTGCCGCCAAAAGTCTAATTCGATATTTTTTACTTAGCTTAATACTGCTTTTTCCAGTAATTAAAAACACATTAGAAACCTTACATGTTAAATCTTCAATAAAAGCTTTGTTTCTGCTAAAATTGTGGACTATTAATGCAGCTAATTATGATGAGAGCCCGTTCACGATGCAGGTATATAAAGCGTGTTTGCAGATATTTTTGTAAAGTACACAAGCCCTACAGAAAACCTGACACGACTTCGCGCAGATCATTTCAGCCATGAAAAAGTTCTCCTATTCTTTGGTTCTGTTGTGCATTGCTGTCTCATTCTTGCTGTTGACTTGTAATCCGGAAGTGGAAGGTGCGGCGCCCATGGGTCCAGGCACCATAAACGTGGCCAAAAGATCAAGATCTGAGGTAAAATTCCCCTTTTTTCTGACCACAAATCTACTTTTGATTTGTTGAACACCGGTAACCAGGAGTTTAAGTGAAAGCAAGTTACTGGCTGTCTACCGCTGCCCAGAAGACCTCATGCCGCCCCGCCGTCTGTTCAGCCTGGGTTTCGCCTTACGACCCCTTAACGGGTATTGCCGCCTATCATACCATCAGTAGGCGGTTATGGAAAATGTTATTGCAACCCCTGTTTTGTAACTGCACTTGTAGAGAATGATCAGAGGTGTCTACCGTTGAGTTAGTGGCCATTGACACGAATTCGATGGCAACAAAACTTGCCAGTTTTTAGTCCACTCACCCACTCGGTTTTTATTTTCTTAGATTTGTGTTCTATGCCAATGTAAACATTTGATGTTGAAATTATAGCTCAGCTTCACTGGTGGCGTTTAATCTGATTAGATGCAAAAACAGCTACCTTAAATCATCTAGTATTTCGAATCAGTCACATAGCATTTTGTTTTGACGGGTGCCATAAACCTGGCTAAATGCCCTAGCTATTTAGATCGATTTTAAACTCCACAAGAAGCCAAAAAAAATCGCTGTTTTTCAAGAACCCTCTCAAGTAATGAAAACAGAAGGCGACTTATTCCGTAAATGCAACCCAATTGAACTCATACTATGCACTTTTATTTTCAGTTTTTTCATTCTCGAAGGAGCATCTGTGAGGCAGCACGTGCTCTGAATTGCCTGAAAGATGACTAACACAAAGAACAGCTGGAAACACGAAGCATAAAGTAACCTGGTCTAAATTGTCAATAAAGTAAATGACTGTTTAATGAGCTCCTCATTCTGATGTTTTTATCCTTGGCCTTACCACCTGTCGCTTTTCACAGCAGTTTTGGAAAAGGATTATGAAACGGTACACCTAAGCTAGCATTACGAACCCTCAACAGTGCACCCGCGCTAGCTTCTCGTACCTTCAACCCTGTTTAACTCTATCAAAAAAAAAAAGACAGAATTGGCACGGTTTGCTTGACAACGTCTTAATTCCATGAGCCATCAAGTCAGGCTTCGTCTCAAAGCCAAGAAACAATTACGCTTTTTGCCGCAATTCTGAGGTGATTTTTTAGCTGTTTTCAAAGATGTCCTTCCAAGATCGTTCTAAATGATAATATTTTGCTTAGAATTTAAAATTTTCAGTTTTGACATATTTCAAAAAGAAAATTCACCCGGGAAAGGACACGCCATATTTTTCATTATCTTTCCCATGGTAATTGGGTATGAAGAAACAGCCGCGAAAAAAAAATATATATATATATATATATATATATATATATGTATGTATTATTGGACGTTTTGGTGTGTAGCATCTCTGAGTATTTTTACGCGGTGTTCCGTATTATGACTAGCCCACAGAGTGAACCAAAATAAAAAAACGAGTAACTGCTTTGTCTTATACACATATCGTATAAGATGGGAAAAGCGAAGCAGGCGGGGAGGCTTGGCACACACAGCCGATTTGGATAAAAAAGGTGCTATATTACATTGGCTTAAGTGCTTTAAATGCAACGCCTCTGCCACAATTAAAGTGCGGAAGAATGTAGTTGTTTGTTGTGGCCTAAAACCAAGGACTTCAGGGAAGTCAAAGTCCATTGACGCCATTCCCAAACAACTTTGTTACTAGTAGTTTGAAACCATTTTACCCGCAGAAGCAGTAATTCAATACTTTTATTTTTCTTGTTTCTTATTCCCATTAGTTTGTAGAATTCACTCTTGCAGTCAGAATGAAAACGTATTTTAAGATTCTATTTCATATTTGGCTGTTCGTTAAAATTGGTGATGGATTAGTGCTCATATTAACTTGATCTGTACGGAAGGTGCTCACATTGATTAAAAATATTTTGACATTAAATTGTTTAAATCGTTGTATGTATACATTATTACTGTTCTCTGCAAGTAAGATAAACCTTCCCCCAGCTGCTCTTTTCAAAGAAAAACTCTTTTGGTCAATTTGTGCGACACGCCGGCTTTTATCTTCCTTAAAACACGGTTTCAATTTCGCTTCAGGAGGCTAAAATCGGGTAAATTAAAGGAATAGTAATTATTTATCGGCAGAGGGAGAACTTCGGAGGTTTTTTTGAGGAGGATTATATGATTTCATGGGAAATAAGGCGGGATCAATTGTTGATAGAAAATAGACAATAGAGAATTGAGTTTTCCTCAGAAAAATAATTGTTCTACATTCCTCCCCTTAATTCAGTGTGTGACAAAGGTCTATTCACTCCCCTTTGTCTCCTCTCTTCTGTTCTTTAGGAACATAGCTACGCAGGCTACGGTTTTCTGAAGGGGTTAGTTATTAATTCTGCATTGCTAAAATGTAGAAAACATATCTTTAATGCTAATTTTTTTTCCTTGTTCGCGTTTTGGCGCGGAATATCTTGTTTGGCAATACCCAGGCAAGGTCTGTAACCTTATCAGAGAGAAGATGCATATGACAATTTTATGTTCCTTTTCGTTGTGAGTGGATGCAGTGGGAACGGCGATAAGTATGGGAGCGCTGTAACGAGACTAAAATCCTGCTGAATGCGATATTAGACAAACGGTTTTGCAGTTTATTGTTTTTTTGACAACTTCTATCTTTAACGATATCGTTTGCGTAAGCGAGAGATCATAAACATATTGATTTACAGCAACTTGATAAACAAGCAATATGCAAGCTGCTTCATCAAACTACCAGAGACTCCCTTTTTTTCCGAGAATTGTCAGGCAAGAGGAAAGTCATAAGTCGCTCGTTTACCCTCTCCGAAAAGGAAAAAAGCCAGCAAATAATAGCTAAAAAAAGCCACACCGTTTTAAGTGCTTTTTCTGCCTTAGTTAAAATTTGAGTGACCTGATCGTTATATGTAATTCAGTAGATTGACGTATGTGAAAAATTATTGCTACTTCTTGCATTTTGAAAATATGCAAAATGACTGTTTCTGTGGCACCTTTTAAAAGATCGGTTTCTCTAAAGTCCCATCTGCATGATAAAGGGAAGTGTTAGCAACAGAAAAAAAAATGCCAGTGGCTACAATGTTTGAATCATCATAACTTGCTTCCAGAGGAAATGTTGTTAACATATTTCGAAGCAGACAGTTTTCGAAAAAAGCTCCTAAAAGGAAGATTCGATGTTCCATTGCATCGTTCTACAAAGCTACCGGGAATTTTCTTGCGAAAGGTTTGTGGGGAAATTGAAAATGGGGAGAAGCTTAAAGACGACTGAGAAACTAATCCATTGATCACAACTAGGTCGTTGCATCTGGCCGAGGATTAAACTCATTTGATAAGTCAGAAAATTGTCGTGAAGGGATAATTTACCAAAGACAAACGTACAGGTGTTTCGATTTGAACTAATGGTTTTTCCTCAACACTTCACTTAGGCGGCTCTCATATATTTATTTAAAACCTGATATCACGCGTGGAAAAACGATCTCATGAATTTCATCGAGTGTCTCATGACAAATGGAAAATAAGCATTCCAATAACCTCATATTATAAATAAAGCCCATAGCACTTCCTCCTTAAACTTGCTCCAGCACCACGCTGTCTGTTTCTGCAAGAAAAGCAACAAGGAGATGGAAGCAAAAGTGGCACTGAAGATGTTGTTCCTGTTCTCAATTCTTCTGATCCAAGGATCCTATGTTGAAGGAGTATTTGGAACTTCGTGTATTAGAGGAAGAGACACCAGGCCGGTAAATATCCTTATTTGTCTCCTTAGAAGCCATTGTGATTCTTCCCAAATTACACCAGTCTGTGGAAACTGAGAACTAGAAAAAAGAGACTAAACAAAGCATTATCCATGATTATCAATTGCATAGGAAATTGGCAGGCTTTTGAGCATGGCAATGTATTTGTAATTCATAGAAGCACGCTTTAAAAGTTACGTTGGCAATTAAGTTTTTCTTCCTTTGTAGGCGTGCAACGCCGCAAATAGCATGAAAAGGCATGCACGACGAATCTGTTCGACTGCTCGAGGGCTGGATTGTGATCAGATCCTACGGGACGACTACTCAGATCATGAGAGCCAGGAACAAGGGAATTTCTAAGCAATAATGCGTGAAAAGTTTAATCAAATCAAACGTCATTAAGATCATTTAAAATCTAAAAGTAAAGCAAACACAGGAAAATAAAACTTATGACTGACATTTTGTATCTTTTTCTCCTTGGTCCAATTTCATTTATTATTAATAATCAGAGAAATTAATGCTGTAACATACGGCGTTCCAAATTATTGCTGTCGATATTACACGGCGTTCCAGTAACTGCCCGCGAACAAATGCCTCATAACGAATAAAAAATGGTGTTTGCAACGCGCCTTACTCACTTTCCCATTCATTTTTAAAGTGATAAGAAAATACTCTCTGACGAAAAATACGCAGTTAAAAAGAAGTACTCCGCGCAGTAAAGGTGAAGTCAGGCAAAATATACGATGAAAAGGAGAAGTTCGCCATGCAGTAAAGGAGAAACTGCATAGCTTAACCCTTCCCGTCCTTTTTCTGTTGCCCCAGTTAACCTTTTAATCCACCACAAATAGAGATCATTTTGACATGACGCCACAGCGGCCTCGTTTTTTAGAACCGAACGCAGCAGAAAGGCGGCCGTGTCAGTGTCCAATTCAGTCCTGTGGGATTTGAGCTATTTTCTAAAGCAGAACAGTGTCCTTTGTTCCAATAAATTTAGATAGGGGCAAACAGGAAGCCGTTACGGACTCTTGGTGCAGACCAAGTGATTTTACTCTGTCTCATTATTGACGATCTCTTGACTGAACCAAACTTCAAGCGCTGTTTCTCGACTTGTCGGAGTTTATTAGAACATTATGAGAAATTCTCAGTAAGGGTATGCCCTTGGCCTAGTGCAAAATGGGTTCCCCTACTCTTCCCCCGCCTCCCACAACGTTTAAATGCTCTGTTGCCTTTGTTAAATCTTAATGTGGAACAGCTTTCTCAAGAACAATTTTTTTAGGGGATTGAGCATTTTCGTTGGATCAAACAAAAAGAGAACTTTATCATGGTTCAACCGTTCATCCAGGTTACTCTAAATTGGCCAACACTTCCCTGCAGTCTATTGCGGGTTTTATGATATCTCGCGGGTAACGATCCAAAGCCTGACCATTTTAGCTTTTCGACGCCATTTTGGACTGACTGAGACACATGTCCTCGATGTCATGCGCTGGATAACTGTGGGGAACCGTAATGAATGCGTTTTAGAAAGAGTGAAAAGTCACCAACTCGGTATCGCTCAAACGTCACTCTTTTTTAATTGTCTTAGGCTTTTCCCAAATGATTTACATCAAATATAGTTTAAAAGTTCCAAGTCTGCTGAGATCCTAAGCCTGCATCATCTTCAGGCTGGTGACGTCGAACTTTTTCGCAGTCTATGCGTCTGGCAATCGAACATATCTGTCTTCTGCCCAGCCTTTTCTTACAGTTCTGTGATTGACGAAATGAGATATGTCACATGAAAGAACACGTATATTCTCTAGAACTTAACTAAAAGATAAGAAAGAACTACCTTTTTATTCAGAAGAAGACATTTTTCAAAAGCTGGTGTAACTAGTTCGCTGCTAACCTAAGGAAGAGTGATGGTTGGTGCTTCCAAAAAGCTTGATTTTAGGGACAGAGAAAAGCATTTTCTCCTAAATAACGCTAGTTTTTAACTAGAACTTGATCATGATTATGAGATAAAGCTGGGTTTGCTTAACTAATATTTCTGATAAGGCAAAATACGTACTCTACAGTTAATAAAACAGAGAAAATTTACCGGTCTGGGATCGTTTTTAGCGCAAAACATTCCAATTCCAAAGCTGTTATCTATGAGAAGAAGAGACAACATAAGTATAGCAAACACCGTTCTCTTGTGCATCGTGTCGACTTTCAGGACGTTAGCCAGGTTTATTTGTTAAGCCACGAGAACGAAGCGGGCTTTTATGACAACCAGATAAGAAAAAAATTCAACTGCATCTTTGTTCTGCAACACCCGCTGTTTAAAAATTGCAATCAAGAGTCCTTCTCGTTGGTAAAGGTAGTAATTAACTTTTGTTTAGCACATCTTTATAATTGGCTCATCAAAATGCCTCCATGAATTTATTTTTTGTATTAGGCGAATTTAGACTCCCGTCACGTAAACGTCCAATTAGGCAAAAGTTTTTTTTTTTTTGGTTTCATTGTCTCAAAGGACGGTCGGAGCCACCACACAGGTGTTGTTCTCTACAATATATTGATGATTTCTGACGGTAAAGACTAAAGACTGCGCAAATATAATTACATCATATTATGCCAGTAGCTCCTTTCCATTCAAAGGCGAGGTGTTGACTGATGAAAGGCTGTCTGCAGAGGAAGACGGGAATTAGTTGGCCTGGGCAGGAGAAAACTTCTTTTAGTCCAGTGTATATTCAGGGTTTCTTTCTTGAGTCGATAAAGCCTTAATCATTTTAATTTGTGTTGGCTAAAGATTAGGCTATGTGCCTAAGTTATAGCTTATATTTGAGATAGTCGTATGACGCTACATCGACGGACTTTTGAGCCTATGGAACCTCTAGAAATAACCTCGAAATGAGAGGCAAATAAACCACGTGTGGAAAATGAGACATAGGGAATAGCGAAGATGATGAAGATGAAAAACTTTGCACAGTAGAACTTGAAATGAAATAAGCAAACTGTTTTCAAGATGGACAAACTGTGAGGTGGCGCCTTAACGCTCGATCGTTTACCTTGCGATCGTTTACCCATAGTTAAGTTAAATTACCAAGTTTTCATTGACTGGTCAAACCTTTGGAAAGTCATAATCCCATAAAAAGGGCGATTGTTTTTGGCGAGGAAAGGAAGAGACAAATTGTCTTTAGATAGTCTTTTTTAGGAGGGGAAATCTCTATTGCTTTGTCATGATGATTTGGGCGACAAAAAAACAAATAAAAGGAACTTAATCCAATTTAGCAAATTTTTTAAGGTGCAAGTTTTTTAAAAATTTTAACTAGCCTAAATAACCTCTCTTAATTTTTCTTCCCTAATCTGACTGCATCTATGGCATCTTTTGACTCTTGATGGTAAGGTTCCTTTTTTAATGTCTTTTTGTTTGTTTTTGACCATGCGACTCCTTCCTAGTTCTCGCTAGCCGGGTAGCCGTATGGTGCCTGCGACTTTCTGATGGATACAGGTGCATTATTCAACTTCATTTTCTGGAGCTTTTAATCATTCTTTCCTTCAGAACGGTTAGCGTCTAAGTAGCATAAAGAACGACAATGAAGCTTACGCCATGTGTAACGAGTTTCCAGCTGTTTAATTTGAAAACAGGCCTTAAAAAGAGCAGCAAATTGTCTTAGAAAATTGATAATTTGCTTTGGCACTGTAGACGAATTTCCTAGAGTGATACATTCCATGAATGGATCACCATTTTAAAGGAATATGAAGTAAAACGCAAAGGAAAGAACGGAAAGTACCAATTAGAAATTTAGAGTAGAGAGATATTTTGAGGCTTTTAGCAGCCTTGCCAAGCAGACGTTAATGAACCGAAAATTGACAGGCGCCCACATCTCGCCTTGGCGTTCAAATTTATTCAATGGCCAATGGGAGAATCCTTGCTGATCAAATAGATGGACGGATTGATGTATGCGTGCATGGAGTAGTGGGTATATTAAACATCAATTTATCATAATCAAGCAATATATATACCAAAAGGTAAACGTGGTAAATGCTCCATTTAAGAAGATTGTAAGAGCGTTAGCGCCTACATATTTAGTTAGCCTGTTGTCTCCTATATGGGGCGCGTGAATGCGCCTTTACGCGGGTAATTTATTCAAAATGCTCTTGCGGCTTCCGCAGTTTAAGTTTCGTCGTTTTGGCAAGAACGTTATTCAGTTCGCTTTAGCTTACTTGGAAACACAACTGCAGTATACAGTACAGTTTATACGGTTGTGAATATATGGAAGTCATATATTTGAACTGCGGTTAAAGACGTGAATGAAAGCGATCTTCGCAGTAATGAACACTACTTAAGTAGTAGGGAAAAGAAGGCCTGAAAAAAATTCAGGCCTGTACGGGCTTTGAACCCATTTGACCTCTACGATACCGGTGTAGTGCTCTACCAACTGAGCTAATAAGCCAACTAGGAGCTGGTCAATGTGTTGGTCCCAAATGAACCAGTGAAGTGGTGAATAAACGGTTGTGAATATATATAAGTCATACATTTGAACTGCGGTTAAAGACGTGAATGAAAGCGATCTTCGCTTCCCATTTCCAGGGCTGTAACAAATTTAAGTGTCATTTATTGGTGATTGTCTATTTAGGTTTTGTGTCTCTTTCGGCTTGGGTTTTTCTTTACTGTAGCAATTATTTTATATAAATATATTTCTTTCAGTTTTAACCGCACGCTATGCTTAAGTATTGCTCTACTGCAAGGTAGACCGCACCGCTTTTCAAGTCAATAAAGATTAAATGCGTGTTAGAATGTCATTCCTGGTGTCGGCATCGAATCCGCTGTGTTGGCAGTTATAAAGATAATCCGGGAATAACAACTTGTGCATAATTTTTCCTAAACCAATAACACTATAGCTCATAACGAGATTGTGTGAAATGTCGATTTCATCTGCAACTCTTAAAGGCTTTGAATTAACTTTGACGGTGTTCCAAAACATTAGGCGTGAATGAAACAGCCCAAAACATGCGCGCGAACTATACAGGAAACGACTTTTACCCTGCATATCATACCGGGCGAAAATCGTTTACGTGCATTCTGAAATTGGGTATCTGCGCGTCGCACGTTTGTCTCTGATGTACTCCATGATATGCCCAAGAAAATCCTCAAAATTATCTTCTGTAGACTTTAAATGTTCGACGGCGGAGCACTCGACGACCTTTACTTAAGACTTATATGCGCCGATCAAAGGGCGACTAAATTCATGGCTTCCAACGCAGGTACTCGTTGTTTGGGTTTTTTTAAGTGGGAAGAGGGGGTGGGGCATTCAGCGTCATGGTCATTTGCTGATGATTATTTCTGGCCTAAAGGGTGCAATATTTAAAATTCAGGAAGTTTCAGTATGAGCCAGTGTCGAGTCTTAACTTAACAGCGCAAATCAATAATGAAATTTGCTCGCGATTTTCTCTAATGACACGAATGGTGATCAAAGTCGCAAATAAATCCGTTGGTGTTGAATCCTTTGATTGAGATCAAAATTTAATCTGTTTAATAAATTTTTCAATGTCGATATAAAAGAAAATTTTTTGTTATCTTTTTAAAGTGTCAGAT